CTATTGTCTGTACTAAATTTACTATTAAAAAACACCATGGGAGACAGAGAACAACACATTTCACAGTAATATGCCCACATTTAAAATGTACATCACAACTGGCCAGTTTTTAAAGCAGATTCACTGAGATGTACACACTCATGCACAGCCAATGCCATTGTACAACTGAACCTGAGAACCAATCATTTGCCTACAAACAAAAGCCACCTTTTCCTCACTTCAAAAGAAATAGGAATGTGTTTTACATAAAAAACAATTATAACCGTTTTTTGATTTATCATCACAAGGTAAATTTGGATTAGCTGAAATATGACACATAATTTTACTTTGTAAGATGTCCTATCTACCTAACATGAATTAACTAGTCTTACACTTTCAGCTAACGGCTCAATCTCACCTTCCATTCCTAAAGGGAGGGAGGGACAGATATACCATGGAAGAAACACATACCAGAATATTACAGAGGGAATTTAATAGAATAAAACTTTTGAAAAACCCCTGAAATATTCAGACATCTGTAATATAGAAATAATTTCTGATTCCAGGCTCAATTATAACTTCCTCCTATCACTACCATGATTTTACCATCTGACCCACCAGCAGAGTTTAAGAAGAAATAGCTTAGCAGTTTCTTCAGTAAAGAGAAGAGGTGGACAACAGGTCAAGCTGTTCAGTTCTACAAAGCTAATGGGTACATTGGTTTATTTGAAATATTATTATCTCCCCAAACTCCTATGAACTATGAACAAAATAGATTAAATCAGCATACAGAATCCTGGCATACAGGGAAGTAATAGAAATCCTAAGAGAATTACAGCATGAAGAGAAATGTTGTGAAAGCTTTGCAACTTCAAAAGTAAAAGAGTTCCTGGCACAATCTTTTTGCTAACTTCTACAAGACAATCATGAGTCACAATTGGCCCAAATATTGAACTGCTGCTTATAAAGATACTGCAATGATAATTCAGAGAAAAAGTTCACCTCTAACTGTTTCTAAGGACTACATTTTATGTTGTATTTACAGAATGGCAGGCAGCCAGCGAAATTCTCAGTAGAACTCTACATCCTCACATAGCTTGCAAGTCATCTTATTTTCTATCTCTGAACAGCACTGTAAAAATACGTAAATGCATTGTAAAATTAGTTTCTCCCTTGCTTTGGTTGGTAATTTATTATATCAATCTTCCTAAATGTTTAAAATTAACATAAAAGTCCTTATTCAGATTACCTTAAATAAAAGGTAAGCACACACAGCATTGTTTCAAAATAATGGAGTTATTAGCATATCTATTTTCAATGGCTACATTTGGAACAAAAGCAGCTTGAATGCAGAACATATTCAAAAGTTACACAGAGCCAGGTGGAACATTAGAGATTTTATCTTCTCACTTTCAACACTATATTAAAAAAAAAATAAAAATTACAGTACCACATGAAACTTAGCAGGGAGGTGCTCAATAAAGAATTTTGATTTATTAAACGTAAGTGACACCATTGCCACATGACAGCCTTTGATTTACATTGCTTTTAATTCACAGCTAGCAATGAAGTTTATCAGCTCCCTTTTGCCCCAGAGGTCATAATAGATATAGATTTTAGATGGCATGGACTGAGCAACACCATTACACTGCTGTGTAACCTCCCATGAGAAAGCAAAACAAAACTGCAACTGAAATGTAATGTCCCAATGATTAAGAGAGATTCTGTAGAACAGATAGCTAAAGGCAGAAAAAGTACATTGGAAGTCAGAAGCTCATAAGATTGAGAGGCTTGCTGACCTACTGCAGGTCTCAAGAAGGAGTCAAAGGTAAAGATCTCTCAGAAAGACTAATCCATTTCTTAAGCTTCAGAGTATACTGAAAAATTTTTTACCCAAGATATATACTTGTGAAGCGAAGAGAAAATGCTATCAGGTCACAGTATCTACAGAGCACATGCTGGAACAAGGTGATCACTAGAAAAGCAAGTCAGCAGCACCAGATGGTTATGTTCTGACAGGATTTTAATACAGTGGAAAGTTAGAATGACTGCATCTCTACATCTTTACAATTCAGACACCTGATTCTTGACAGCCAGAGGGCAGAAAACAATGCCAGAAGCACTACAGGTGATTTTGGAGAATCACAAACAGAACACCTTTATTTCCAGCTTAGGATTTCATAACCATTATGTCACAATGAAATGTACACAGGAATGCAGCTTCCCTGCAGCTAACCAAACAGTACTTGATTGATTAAAGCACCAGAAAATGCTGTAATCTCTGTGATTGACTCATCATATTAATAAGTAATAGTTGTGACTGAGCTTTAAGAAACAAATTGTTGCTGCAAATATAAATTATAGTTCCTCTTGTAAAAACACCCAAGGAGAAACTACATTGTGCTGCTGTAAGAGAAAAATTGTTTTAATTTAATTTAATCTTGAGATATATCTTATATAGATATATATACATGCAAACATATACATACATACCTATTACTTCTTATGGTGTGTGTGAAGGAAACAGGATATTACATGGAAAGTTTGTGTATCTTTGCAAGTACTTCTACCCTTAGATTACATTCTGCAATAAAAAAACACTGCCAAATTATATGTTATGCAAATAGGAGTTCCATTATAAGTTATTTTATTAATTTCTGGATTGAAGAAATATGTAGAGAATGAAATCTACCTATGTTCAGCACCCCTTTCCATCACGTAATTCCTATCCTAAAGAAAAATACAGACACAAGAGCAGCATAGATTTCTGCATTCTGCATGCAATTCTATGCTTACACTTTACTAATAATCAGTTAAGATGCATAATACACTGACATCAAACAACTTGAGAATACACAGTTTGCCACCGAATCTGGCAATTCTCCATTTCTCTTCTTAAAGAGGATCAGATTCCAATGAATATGTTTCAACAAGAAATTGTGCACCTTACTATGTGCCAAGGAGCACTGACATGCTGGAGAATTGCAATAAATTTCATATGCAAAAACTTCAGCAGAAATCTACAACAAAGAAGTTGACATACACCAGACTGCACTTAACTGAATATACTTTGAATTAATTTTAATACCATTACTTTAGCTCAGCTTCACTATGACTACAACATATGGACAGTGCTTTAAAGGTGAAATAAAGCAATCCTTCAGCACTTTTTGCAGGTTAAAGGATTGCCTTATAAACGGCTTGATACCAATTAAGTAGCAGAAAGCTTATTTTACACTAAACCCTCATTATTACTTTTTTCTTTATGTCAGAAGTTTGGCCTATTTAGAAGATATTTTACCTTGAATCTATTCTACTTTTACATTACCACATGACATACACAACTGTGAATGCTTAGAGCTGTATTTCTGGAAAAAATAAATATAACCATTGATCAACAGGTAATACAGCAAAGGGAAAAATTATGTGTTTTATGTATAAATTCAAAGCCTCTTAAAGACTTCGTCCAGAACCTTGTTTCTGGTAAATATATGGAAAACTACAATCTCATGATCTGGCAGTGAAGAATATGTTAACAGAACCATACTGTGCACCAGTGTCCTTCATACAGGTAAATAGTCTCTTTCAGTTTAAATTAAATTAAATTAAAGTTTAATTTAAAGTAATCATACCTGACTCTTGGCTAGGATATTTTTGCCATTAATTAAAAAGCAACATGAATTAACATTATAATATAGTCTAGAAGAATCTACGAAAAGTAGATGCCATCCTAGTGCACAGTGGTTTTCAAGTGGAAACTTAATTTCATAGTTGCAGTTCAGAAAAAAGCCTTTTATTCTGCTAGATAGTGCTACACTCTACTTGCAAAAGGAGCTGTAAATATTACAGTGAAGGTACATCATTTTGCTGAGATTGTATAATTAGGTCTGCAAATCAACAATGCTTTGACTATTGAGTATTCTTCCTGCCTAACCACCACCACTATCATTACAGAAGTTATTCTGGAATACTTGCTAAATACCTTTCACTGTAAACAATGGCTTTATTCTCCCCTTTTCTGTTATTCAGTCAGATTCAGAGATCTGGAAGAGAGCTGGAAGAAAACTGTGCCTACAGTTTTATACCCCTGCAAGGAGCAAAGGAGAAGCAGGAAGAAAGCAGAAGCAGGTACAATAACAGAGTGTTTGTGTAACTACAGGCATTGACACAAAAAAAAATTAACCTTACCCTACACAGTCTACCTCAGATAGTATTTCAATGTCTAAACAGAAATTTGTTATTACATTCAAATATAACAGGGTAATGAACTTAGTAACCTGTGAAAGTGAGAACAGTCACCTTGTGTGCTTTAGGTTTGTTTCTACTTGGCTTCATTCTATTTTATAATTTAGTAATAAATTTCTTGTCAAATTCACAGTTTTTCTTGTTTTTCTACTGGCTTGATGTATTTCTGCAAAGCTCACTGTTATTAGAGGTGGTTATTACCCAAAACTAAAAACAACCATTTTCCTCTGAGAATCAATAGAAAATTTCAAGCTGGATTTGGAATATTTCCCTTTATCTTGTTATAGATTTTTGTCTCCAGGTGAGCTTATTGTAGCTTTTTCTACCAAAAAAGAAACGTGGTGGCATATTGGTGTTGGAAACCAGTACCAAATTTCAAAGTAACCGGTAACATCAGGAGCTGAGAGAAAGAATTATTAGGACAACTGCAGGAACCCCCAAAATGATAAAGAGCATAAGAGGATACTGCAGAACATTTTTAACACAAAGATGCCAACCTGCATGTACAAGAATGAATAGAGGAAAGAGGGAAAACTACACAAACCATTTCTGCATAAGAGTTCTGACAGGATAACTGTGCCATCTATCTGCATTTCTGTACAGGAAATAGAAGTTACAGGTCTTACTCTACTGGTGAGCTACAATGTGCAGATTTATCACTTTTGCCATTTCTGTGATGCTAACTCATCCATATTTCTAAACAAGAATACTTGTGAATTTATAATTTCTGTGAGAATATATCATACAGAAGTACTTACTATCTAGAGAAGTCATACCTGTTGCCAAGGACTGGCTCCCCAGAGGTTCCCAAAGCAGAATAGTCCATGCCATAGAAATTCAGTCCTAAAAGTATTTTATTCCTCCATTTTGAATCAGGATCCAGTACTTCAACACAAGCTCGTACCCAGGGAAGGGGGGAATTTGGACCAGGTCTGTCAAGTCAGCAAAAATCAAACAGGTTGTCAGAAAAAGTACATGTTCATACTTATCCTTCTCTTTTTGATCAATGTAATTGCAAAGAGCAAATTATGGCACACAAAAACCAGTAAAGATGAACTTACAATTCTATCAAGGTTAAATGCACATTCTTCAGTAGCTTGTAGTGATGATACAAAACGTGATTGCCCCACTCTTGACTTTTTGATTAAATTCTCCACTCTTGACTTTTTGATTAAATTCTGACATGAAGGGGCACAGAATTCCTTACTAGGGGTAAGAAAAGGTTTCCCCCTAGCATACTGTTACAGGGCCTTGCACAGTGCCTATGCTATAATTCTCTGCATGACTTCAGGTTTTTTCCTCAACATTTTACTGCAAACTGGAAAAATACACTGGGACAAAATCTACCATTTACTTGCAGAAGTAACTGTAAAGTTAGTAAGCAAAACAAGTTTCAATGATTATGTAACACTTATTTACGAGTGTATATCATAGTCTTAAAAATATCATCTGCTACTCCCTACTAATTACCTGCCTCAAAGCCTTCATGATACTTGTGCCATTAAAACTGCACATGGTAATACAGCAGAGCAATGTTGCTGACTATTGTCAGCAACTGCTCAAATTTAAAGGCAAATTAAGTATCAATTGTTAAAAGCTGATTTGTTTGACAATGCTATTATTAGTAGATTATGAGTGTACCTATCCTGCAGAACTGTGCTAAATAACTCAAAACAAAATAACCTGGCCTGGAAAAGTGTACCTATCCTGCAGAACTGTGCTAAATAACTCAAAACAAAATAACCTGGCCTGGAAAACTGTAAGTGTCAGGTTATCCTTTTAAAAGGATGCCTTTTTAGCTATAGTACAAAGTCCTTCATAATATCCAAACCACAGATACACATTGCTGTTAAAAATGTACTGAGTTATCAGCTTCTGGAAAAACCATCTATTTTAATTACTAATCCAGAACTTTAGTATCATACAAGTACAAAGCAGTATTCACTTTACTAGAAAAAAAAATGTACTGTAGATTTAACAGGTCTAAGTAGGAATCAGCTCCTTCAATGATCTTCCTGATGTCAGATGGAGTCTTACCGATGTGGTGCAGAATAGTCATATGTCATGAGACTGAAGCTGTCTATTGCTGAGGCCAACTGATCAAATTCTTTCTTTGTGAACATTCCTGGCTGGTTCGTCCTTTCAAAACAAAGCAAAACAGAAACGGGAAGAGATAAATTACTACAATAACCACACTTATTTTCTCCTTTGGGTTTCATACCATTTGATCACATAGGAAAAATCTTTCGTTCTGAGGTGGCAAAAAAAAAATAAAATATGTATTTCAGTGCCATTTTTTTAATAAACAGCTAAGAAAAAAATAGTTCAAAGCTATGTAGGTGGCCAGTGGGAAGAATCATACTTCCACAGCATACTTACCAAATAAGCATTTCCAGCATGGCTACAATAGAGATTATAAGGGCTGTGGACTAATCAAATTGCCTTAGGTAGCAATCAATTGAACTCTAAAAGCTTTTAGAAAACCTCTAATTCCTTGGGCTGCTTAACTGGTTTTGACACTTATGAAACTAAGTTCTCTGAGGCATATTTAAATAAATGGATGGGTGCAGCTGTTAATAGAAAAATATAAACCAAAGGTAATTTTTTTAACCTCAAAAAGAACAATTTCAGTTTATACCATACTTAAGAAAGAAAACCTGTTTTCTTTAGACAAAAACAGATCCATTTCTTTCTTTGGGCAGGGGAAAAGAAAGAAGAAAGGGGGTGTATATTTTGTCTGTTTTGGACTCAGGGAGGCTATTGACTTCCTTCAATCATTCAAGATGGAAACATTAATTCACACAAGTTGCCTGAAAACACTGAATCTGTTTCAAAGAGAATTTGTAATTTCAAAATAGCAGCACAAATAGCACAGCAGGCAACATAAGGCAACCTTTAATCACATTGTGAAGATGGGACTGGACTAAAATGGAGAAGCTACTGCCAGAAGAGCCCTGTCCTCAACCAGAGGGCTATGAAGCATGTTAACATGAGACAAACAGATAGAAAAAGTGGTTATTGTCCCAGTTAACCTTGGACAGCAGTGTACATAAGGGGACATTGCAAAAGAAGAGAAAAGAGGGAAAAAATGTAATTTAACAGCTATAAACTTAGTAGTGTATCTCTCTCATTTAAGAGGCAGACTTACATGATTGTACAAGATTCCTCTAGAGAGCAGAGGAGACTGGAGAAACCAGACTTTCCCAGTAATATCAGAAACTGCTACTTGATCTAAAAATTAGAAGCCAATTAGAATACCTTGTCTAGGCAAGGTATGCTTTTAAAACCACTCCCATTCCATCCTAAATGTAAAAACCAAGAAGATGCTCAGTGACAGATGCAAGTAATAAACAGAAAAATCACATATTTTGACCTTTATCCCTTTTGGATCAGTGTGCAAATTCTACATCCAACAATATGTGCTCCACGGATCACCAGAGCATAACAGTGTTCATTTATCAGTTCACAAGGACACTTTGTGTTCCACTGCATAAGGAAAGAGGTGAACAAAATGCAGGTTACAAAGTAGGGTGGATTAAATCACGTAACATGCCTGTCAGATTTCCAGAACCAGTGATATACTGATCACAGGAAGGAGAAATCCCTTTCTTTTCCTTCAACGGTTACAACAAATTAAAACAAAAATTCTTCACTTCTGGAACCTACTGGTGGACCTCAGTTTTTTTTTGTAGTTATCTGCTTGTGATGTACTGCAATTGTAAACTACAGTTGTTCTACAAGAATTAAAATAATAAATACATCTTTGAAACAATGTCATGGCAACTTGGATGTCTGTAGGCAAAGCAATTTCCCAATGCAAACTCCAGCAAAACACATTTTCAGTAAATTGATTGTGATTACTCCTGAGGGGAAAAACATAAAAAGTAATTATAATGTGTATTAGATATTAGGGCAAGTTGGATTGCTTTATAGATTTAGCCAGGTAGTACTTTAATGAAATTTGCATGTGTAACTTAAGAAGAAACCCACAGGTTAAAATGGATATTGCCATAATTTTCTCCAAAGCAATTTTGTAACTCAAATACTTCTGTTACTGAAGAATGCCATCTGAATGGCAAGGGCACAAATTGCCAACTTGGAATAAACCCAGCAGCAATGAATATACTTTGTCCATTAATGTATAGTGTTAAAACAGCAGCACTCTTCAAAAAAACCAAGCACCACTCACCAGTTCAATGAATACCACCAGTCAACTCGGCTCTAGTCAAGTACTATGGGAAATTCCACTGGAACAAAACCAGGACTATTTGATTAATGCCTTTAGAATTGTTCTGAGTCAAGAAAACTGGCATTCAAGGATAAAACCTAAATATTTTTTTTGACAGCTATTATACTTCAAATTGGAGGTTTTCCAATCATTCCGATATTTATGCAAACTTAACTCAAGGGCAGGTATGTTCTTCTGACTACTTTGTTGAGAAATCCAGTGTGGAAATGGAAATAGAAAGTCAGAAGACTTGGCAGAGAATATGCAGAGTCCATGAAAGTAATACTTTCCAAGTCTAAGTCAAAAGCTTGTCATTCTTCCACACTTTGAATACCACTTCCAAAATAGTCAGTGAAGTAACAGAAGCCTCATAATCATTTATTAGCTCTGTACAATATACCTAGATTCACAGAATCATCAAATATGCTAAGCTGGAAGGCACCCACACGTAACATCAAGTCCAGCTCCTGGCCCTGCACAGGACAGCCCTGACAATCTCCTCATATACCTGAGAACATTGTCCAAAGATGTCTTGAACTCTGTCAGGCTTGGTGCTGTGACGACTTCCCTGGGGTGCCTGTTCCCAACCACCCTCTGGGTGAAGAACCTTCTTCTAAGGTTCCAACCTAAACCTCCACAAAGACCAAAGAGCCTGTATCTACAATTACCCTAGTCTGCTAAAATACTCAAGCCTAAATCCCACTGTCTTGGAAAGAATCCAGCATAACTTAACCAGTTTGCTGAGTATTTTCAGTCTGCTAAACTGGAACAGACTCCAGTTCCACTTGGGATTATTTTTTTAACATGGCTTGTTTAATTTTAAAACTTAATACAGAAGATTAACAGACACAGCAGAAGGAGAGGCGAGCATAACAATTGAGTTTGCACTGCAAATCTGCTCTTAAAACTTCCTCTGGTCTTAAGCAAGCCAGGGCTCCTCTCCAGTCCATTTGCAAAACCGGACCCAAACTCTTCTCCCAAGATGCTGAAACCCTCCCAGAGCTGGGAGAAGGATGATGCAGGATGGGTGGAGAAGGAATGAAGACAGGATGGAGAAAGGATGCCCTGGGTGGCATGGCTGGTAACCCCAGCCACTCAATCCCCAGCCCTGGAGCTCCAGCTCACTGGATTGTCCCATGCCAGGACTCACTCCCCAGGGCAGCACTGTTCCATGGTGCAAGGGGACGGGGGAGGCCACACAAGTGATGGGCCTGGTGACACTGCCCTGACCTGACCCTATTGGAACTCAGGGCAATGGGATGAAACCAGTTTCAGCTATAAATATCCTCAAAGGGTTGAAATTCCCCAGCATTCCTGCTAGAATCAACTCTTGCTATTTAGAATCCATGGGGGTTTTCAGTAATTTGGATTGAACAAAATACATGAATGTGAATTACAATCAACTGAAAAACTGAACTATATAAGTTGAATCTACAACCAAACCTGCTCCTCGAATGAAACAGACATTCAGAAGAAAGTAAAAACAAAAGGCCAAGACTGATTTTTCTGGGATTTCTTAAAACAATTGAAACAATTGCCTTAAACTATTAACAAGAACCCCTTTTTTTAAATTTTTTTTTTAAATCTGAGATACTCGAAGGTTTTTTACTATTAAATGGGCCTTAAACTTACTGAGCCAATGCCTCATAGTTACAGGTTTAGTTTGCACTATTATTGAGAAAGCACTGGAGTTCTTAGCTCCTTTCAAAACAGTTTCAATGTGGAAGTGCAATATTAAGCCTCAACCTAGGCATCCAGGCATTATATTGTATTTTTATGTCTTCTTTACCCAATATGCTTTCCATATTTTCCTGAAAGAGCTTCTCTGGCAATGATAAATGTTCTGGTGAAAAACAGATGCAAAGCTAGGAAGTGTTCAGACTTGAGTCATCACTCAGCCTACTTTTCTGACTTACAATTCAGGATCCAAAAATTCATCTTACACTTCATGGTCTACTTTCAGTACAGGGGATGTGGTTTATTTGCCTGGCAAGCACATTTCAGGCAGGGGAAATACCTAAGCAAAACTATACCAATGCAAAGTATGAAGTGCATAAACAAATCTCCATAAGAAAAGACATCAAAATTATGACAGGTATCAGTTCTGTCACTTAAAGAGTGACTTAAAAATGCTTAGACACTGGTAATGAGGATAATATAAAATTCCCCAATAAAAGAAAAATAAAACTGTATCCTCTATCTTATATAATTAATATTTTAAACTAACACTTTGTGGTGAATGTGTTTTCCTTGTTACTGAAAAGGAAAAGCATCTCTCAAAGAAATGAAGCTTTATTTTTTCTTCTTTCTGGCTTGAAACAATTGTTAGTTTGGAATGATATTTATCCCATATTTTTCAATTTTCTGTTTTCTAGAAAAATCTGTAGGATTATATTTCTAAAATACCAGCCAAATGTAAACACTCAAATTCTTTGGCCCAACAAGACTTTCTAATGGATATAATATCTCCTCTTTATGGTATTTTAAAATATTTGTTAAAATGTGTAAGAACTATGGACTTAACCCTGTAAAAATACATACCTGGAATTTATCTAAAAAGTGTCTGTCACTCCTGCTTAGCATTTAAGGGACAAGGCACCATACATCAGGAATTCAGAGACGTGGTTTTCTACAAAATCTATACAAAAATTCCTACAAGTAGAAATTATCAGTGCAGGGAAATGATTAAGGATAGAAAACAGGGCATGGGACTGCTGGATGTGCAGAGAGTGAGTGAAAGAACAAAAACACACTGCAAACAGAAAATGAGTTTTCCTTTCCAGTTCATTGCTGTTTTACCTTAAGTGGACATTTTTTATTCTGTGACATACTTTCCTTTTAACAAACAGTAAAGAAGCTGCCTTACACAACATCCATAGAAATCCTTCCAGTAAAAAGCCTCAGGAATACA